TAGTTGATCATTGTAAGCAATTAGGTGCCAATTTGTATTATCTTTCTTGATACCTGGAATTTAGCAGATTTAGTAGTGTCACACCTAGTTATTTTAACTGTTGCTTTACATTTTGAGCATTTACCAATTGATTTACTTGTCAATTGCACTGTTCCATTGCAGTTGACACAAGTGACATAATCAGAAACTTGCATGACAGCACTGATTTCTCCTTTGGCTACCATAGGTGTAGCTGTGGCTTGAAATTGAATTGCATTTATAATTATCATTGGAAATTTCTTGAATATCTTCAATCTGTTCAATAGTATAGTTAGTTGATAGTAAAAGATATTTCACAGCATCAAACTGGCATACTACAACTTCTTGTAACTTATAACTTTCACCTTTTTGCCATTAGTCAATGTCCTGCTGCCAAAGAACCACATGACATGTGCTGTTGCAGTAACAAGGAATGCAATCTTGATTTGTGAGTGTCTTACCATATTTAGATGTCACATCAGTAGCAGCATATACTTTCACAACCTTTTCTACTACTCTAACAACCTGGTTAATTGCTGTACTACTCAATTCATCAATCGTGATTGTTGCAACAGATGTTAGATCCTCTATATCACTTGCATCCAACTTGAACTTTTTTGGCGATACTTTTCAGTCTTAATTACTAAACTGGAATCAAATGAACTCTTCCTGATTTTACATCCACTTACTGCTACTGGCACATTATCCTCCATGAACTTATCAAATGACAGTTTTAAGTTAGGATCAAGTGACATGAAGCGATCATGGCTTATTCCATTACACATCTTTCCTCTAAAATATCGAGTTTTCTCTCTTGCTGGTTTTAACAGCAGATAACTCCACAATCCACCCATGTACAACGACATCATCGTCCACCTGAATCTTGTGAACTTATAGCTATGCTTAACTAGAGTAGAGCTCTGTTTGGATGCCATGTAGACTACACAGTTGACTTATTCATTATTTAAGAGCAATCAAACTGAAACTATTTTTACTGAGTCGCTTTCAGCACGAGGCAAGCTGTCAATTATAAGTGTGTATCTATTTTTAGACCTGCATGTTGGCTTCTTTCATAAATAGATTCTATATTCAGTATACTATCTCTCCACCATTATTATTAGGCTATTATATAGATCTCTAGAAACATCTATCTATATATAGAACTTTAAGTGTTAAATCAAAATGGCTGAGGAATTTTAGTATTGTAGAGACTAGATTAAGGACTATGAAGATAACAAGAAAGAAGTTAAAGTCCATGCATGAAAAAGTAAAAAAATTACTGCAGGAGCACAATGAAAAGTACAAGAAGTTAGAAAAGACTCACAATACACAGAAAGCTGATTATGGTAAAGTACAAGCTAAGAAATTGCAAACAGATTATGATTAACTGCAAAGTCTGTTTGACAAGCTGCAATTGGATGGTGACAGAATGAAGACAAGGCTTTCAAATTATAAGGATGAAGATAGACAACATATTCAAGAAAAGAAAGCTCAACAAAAATTGTTGGAAGAAGAGGATATTATAAAGAGAAAAGTTAGGTTTGTGGAAGAAGAGAAAGAGAAGCTTAAAGAAGAAGGTGCACCATAAAACTATCCATGCAGCGTCATAGAATCACTTCCGCCCGTCACCGTGTAAAAGGAGGTGCCCTGGGCACAATATGGCGGCCGCTTTTGAAAGTTACAAAATGGCTACCACAATGGCATGGCTGTCATCGTGGTTCAATCAGTGGCATAACGCACCAAAATAACATGAAAACTTGTAAAGGCGAGGCTATAAAGCCACAAGCACATGTAGACAGTATGGCTACTAGCAAAATGGTATAGTTTACTTGAAGTCAAAATAATTATTACCAAATTTCATTAAATGTTTTTTTCTGAAGATTCAAATTGTATATTCGGAAGACCTGATTGCCAGTCTAACACAGGCTGTCAATGATGCTGTCAGGCAGGCTAATACAGGCTAGTGGTGAAGATATAGTCTTCACCACTACACAACAAACCAGTTGAACCACTAACAGCAGCCAGTCATAGTCTTCAGGTAGTGGTTCCATCACTAGACCCTCCATGGTCTTGGTCCTCATCCAGGTCCTTCGACTGGCAGTGGCAATGTTCAAGGGTCCAATAGAAGAAGTAAATTAAAAAATTTATAAATAAAGAATCACTAAAATGAATGATAATATCAATAGGGCTGAATGGATATGGGGATGGTGACGAGCCTCCAGTACTTGGTGGGGACAATGCATGTCTGCACTGCCACCTGATGCCATGTATCATTGAAAAACCACCGTCATGGCTCAGGGGCAGTGCTGGCCCCAGTCTTGCTAATGCACCTAAAAGGTACTCCCTATACCGGAAGTTCTGGTCACTGCTGGCGAGGTTCCGAGTATGGGAGGAGCCTCAGTATGTCGCACCCAAGGAGACCTTCACCTCCAGTGACGACAAGAGGGAGGTAATGCCTGTGTGCATTGTTACTGTGAGTCATATATTGATATAAGTCTGACTAATAACTTATGTATAACAGGAACTAAGAAGGCAGTACCCGAATCCACCAGGCGTCCCATACACAGACTTTCAGCTATCCTAATAATAAAAATAATTCATTGTTAGTATGTTTGTAAACTTAGCTTTTTCATTATACATGTAATTCCTCTTCGTAAATATGTCCATGCTTGTATAACTTGCTCAGCTCACCTCACAACCATATCACCTACAGTACATATCCTAAGTGATGTACATATAATCAAAAGTCTTACCTCAACACTTCAAATTTTACAAATTGTAGCAAGAAACAATGACATCAACAACAGTAGCAAGTATACTTCAATAGTCTTCCTGTTCATCATCTAACTCATCT